CAAGCAGTGCTCAAGCAGTGTGGCAGTTCAATGCCAAAAGGACGACGACGACAAAAAATAAATTTGAATCGATTCCCGGAGATTTGCCGTCCCCGCCGTCATTTACCTGCTTGATGTGTGTGCTGCAGCAAAAAATGAAAATCAAAAAAGGAAAACGTCAAAAATAGTAAAGGCAAACTTTTTACCATGAGAAAGAGAGTAGTGGGTGGAAAAGGGATCAAAGTGGAAGGAGAACGGCAATAAAAAGTAATGGAAATTTTATTGCCCCGCTTCAGTTTCTCAGTATGACTTGGAGTACGATGTTTGCAGTGAAGGAAAAGGAAAAGGATGAAAACAAAAGAAATGAGGGTACCCTAGAAGCTGCTGGACAGATTTGAGCAGCTGAAGCTCGAATATTGAGCATATCGAGGCAGTCGAGATGAAGGGGAGAGAAGAGAGGGAAAGCAGCCACCAAACGACCGTTTGGTGGTGATGCTAGAATATATAAATAATGCGCGTTCATTATGTAAAGAACAGAAAAGAAAGGGAATGGTATGGAAAGACAAAGCGAAGCATCGCACGGTACGCACAGAATGAGAAGAAATGAGACAGCAGCAGCAGCAGCAGTCTTTGGCGCCAGTGGTGGAAGCGAAAGAAGAAGAAGAAGAAGAAGAAAAGTATCATCATAAATTATTGCTATCAATAGGCCATTATTCGCAAGCAAACAGCCACTGTCTCGCCCGGGCCCTTTCTCTTTCCGTCTCCTTCGCCTTCTCTGTCGTTCTCATTATGATCCTCACGCCGGCCACAACACACACACAGAAAGAGAGCAAACACAAGGCCTTCTGTTTGGATTCCTTTCACTTCCTCCTTCTCTTCCTCCTTTCTTCTTTCTCCTGCTGACGTTACATGATCCCCATCTTCCATCGATATAAAACAATAAAATTATAAATATTTAATTTGCCAGCAGTGCAGATACCCCACAAAAAAATACTACTACAACCGTACAAAAGCTGCTGAAGAAAAGGCCCGGACAGGGGCAATGGCATGAACGGCAGCAGGGCGCATTAAATTAGGAGTGAAACAAAGTAAATGCCTGTCTGCTTTCGTTCTCTGATTCAGAAGATCAGATGAGATTGCCCCTCACATTCATACACACACTAATGCTAATAAATGCTACGTGTCGATGAGACTCAAGTAGTGAAAGAACATGATGATGATGAGTGAGTGAGTGGATTGGAGTAAGCAAAGTGCAACACACAGGAAAACAGCACTTAAAAGCATCTCTTTTCTGGTTCTCCTTTCTCAGTAATCCCCTCTTACCATTAATCAAATCGATTAATTTGCCTGCTTGTAATAAATATTTCAGCAGATTACCGCAGATACCGTAGTACGAGTGTGCATGGAAATGAGCACTCGGTTCAAGCAAAAAACCTTGCCAAAGACGTGCGCAATGCTAAAGTTGGCAGATTGGGATTTCAAATAGCGCAACAAAATTCAGAATAATCCACAATAAAGTTTCAACGTGATCATATAACGCTGAGGAGACTTTTAAAAATCAAAAGTTAAAAGAAACAATAAAAAAAATATTTTCAGAAAAAGCATTTCATCTGAAAGTGGTCTGCCATCTGGTACTGAAAATTGAGGATACAACAAATTATCATGGGAAGCTACCGTAGAGGAGGGCCTCAATCAGCTTGGCGTCCACCTTGAATTTGGTCTCAGATGAGGGCGGCCTTTTTGCATTCTCGCCCTCTCCTCCTTCCTTCACTTCCTCTTCTTCCCCTTCACCCACTCTGCTTTCATTCAACCGTCGCACCAGTGTCTCCAGCTGCCCGGCCAGCGTCTCATTGCTGGCGCGAATGTAGCCGAGAAGGTGGGGGCCGTCGCTGCTGGTGTCCACGTTGAAGGCGCAGTCGACGTTGTAGTAGAGGTGGACGGAGCAGGTGAAGGTGCCGTAGACGAGCACCGTCATCCGCCGGTCATTCAGGTGGTAGTGGCCCACGGTGAAGGCGGCGATGGGTTGGTCGAACTGGCAGCTGACGATGCGGGTGTCCAGGTTCACCAGATAGGTCTGGCCGTTCCAGGTGCAGGCCACCAGCTCGTCGCGGCCGTCGCCGTCAATGTCGTGCTTCCGCAGACAGGCGATCTTCTGCTCCAGCTGCAGCTGCCACTTGATGTGCTCCTCCTCCAGCAGAAGGAGGAGACCGTCGGCGGTGGCCACCGCTATCAGCCGATTGCTGTTGCTGTTGCCGTTGCCGTTGCTGTCTGACTCGGACGAATCAGGAGAGGAAGAGGAGGCGGTGGTGGCACTGCCGGTGGCAATGTCCGCCACAATCTCGGCGCTGATCTGCGGATTGCGCAGCGGCGGCACCGGAGTGATGGTCTTGTACTCGGGTCGCAGGCCAATCGCCTGCTCAATCAGGTGCTGCTCCTCGTCGTCGTCGATGACGTCCTCTTCGCTGGCTTCATCTCCTCCTCCTCCTCCTCCTCCCCCTCCCCCTCCATTCTTCATCACCAACTCCACCGAGTTGTCCTCGCTGGTNTGCTTCATCTCCTCCTCCTCCTCCCCCTCCATTCTTCATCACCAACTCCACCGAGTTGTCCTCGCTGGTGGCGCTGTTGGCGACCACCACATCGCTGGAGTGCACCTTTGCGTACATGCCACCGTGTTGGGCGACGAGCACCGATTTGCGCTCCTGGCGATCGATTCCATTTCCGCCACCGCCGTTGCTGTGACCACTGCTGCCGCTCTTTTGGCTTCCATTGGCGGCGTTTGTGGAGGCGGCAGCGGTGGGCACCACATTCTCCCACGATGTGGACAGCGTGATGGAGCCAATCTGATCGGAGAACTCCCACTTGTGAATGCCCACCAGTTTGATCTCCTCGCCGTACTGTACGGCGCGGTAGGAGCGGACGACGCGGTCAGAGAGCGCCACAATCAGCTCATTGCTGCCGTCGGCGTCGATGTCCGCTATCAGGGCGCTCATCGCATTTGCCTGAATCTGCTGAGCGTGCACGCAGATGAGCGAATTCGAAACGGAGGGGTGCTGCTGCCCACCAAACTCCTCATTGTCAGTGATGGTGGGCGGACACTTTACCGAGGAGAGCGGCACCGAAACGGTGGAGAAGTTGGAGCCGCGACGTGTAGGATTGAGCGACACTGCTGTATGGCTGTGGCCGGCGGCGTCGTGGGCCAGTTCAAAGTGGAAGGCAAATATGTTCAGGTAGCCTTCAATTGAGATCGTGATGATGCTGTTCTGTAAGGGGAAGAAGATGTCAAAACAGAAAAACATTGACTGAAGTTAGCAAACCCTGTTCTTGTTAAGAATGTCTCCCACGACGATGCAAGAAATCTAAAATGCCAAAAATAAACATTAAACAAAATGACAATTTTCGAAGCTAGTTCACCTACCATTCCAAGCTCTTTTGCCGTCGCCAGCGGTATAGTGGAGCTGTCCTTAAAGATCAACAGTTCGCCGTTCAGCGTACCAATTAGAAGCTCGTTTTTCTGTTGAGAAAAAGCACTTGAACATTAAAAACTTTTCAGCGCCCCTCTTCATTTACTCACATCATCATTATCACAGTCGGCGAGGACGACGCCATTCTTGCTGAGGTTGCCCTCAAACTTGAACTGAATGCTGTCAATCAGCGAAATGGAGCGGTAGTTGAGGCTGTTCTGGGCATTGTAGGCGCCCGCCTGAGAGGCGCAGATCGAGGTCCGCGAAGAGGATGAGGTCGACGAGGCGGTCTCATTGTTGTTGTTGTTCGTGTTGGTGGTGGTGGTGGTGGCTCCTCGAGCTCCTCCTTGGCCAAAGGAGTTCAGACTAGCCTGGCTGTTGTTGGAGTTCATCTTCGGTTGAGGATCTTTAAAAGCAACCAGAAAATGATGAGGTTCGAAAGACCTCAAAGCTCCGAAATGCCATTTTCAAATATCAAAACACTGCAAACAAATGCCCATCACCAGCTCACAGAGGACGTTACCATCAGCAGCCGAACTGACCGGATTTAGAAAGTGAAACCACGGCTACCATATTTCTAGCAAAAGTTGCATACATGTTTGCATTTATTCGTGTCAATTCTCAACACCTTCAACATTTTCAACTCTTCTTTAATGTAATGTACATAGCTAATAATTAATAGTGATCAGAGGGATAAAAAGAGGGGCATCGCCGGCTGTTGTTGCTCTGGTGGTGGGGGCGGTGTTGGTGTTGTTGGGGGCTCTCTCGTCAGCAGGAAAAATCAATTTGCTTGTGCTAATGTTCTCTTCCTTACGCAGCGGCCTCCTTGGCGAGCTTCTCCGCCTTCTCAATCACCTCCTCAATGGGNATGTAATGTACATAGCTAATAATTAATAGTGATCAGAGGGATAAAAAGAGGGGCATCGCCGGTTGTTGTTGCTCTGGTGGTGGGGGCGGTGTTGGTGTTGTTGGGGGCTCTCTCGTCAGCAGGAAAAATCAATTTGCTTGTGCTTATGTTCTCTTCCTTACGCAGCGGCCTCCTTGGCGAGCTTCTCCGCCTTCTCAATCACCTCCTCAATGGGGCCGACCATGTAGAAGGCCACCTCGGGCAGGTGGTCGTACTCGCCCTTGAGGATGGAGTTGAAGCCCTTGATCGTCTCGGCGAGGGGCACAAACTTGCCCGCCTGGCCGGTGAACACCTCGGCGACCTGGAAGGGCTGCGAGAGGAAGCGCTGGATCTTTCGGGCGCGAGCCACCGTCAGCTTGTCCTCCTCGCTCAGCTCGTCCATACCCAGAATGGCGATGATGTCCTGCAGGGACTTGTAGTCCTGGGCGCAAAAGAAAGAGATGGGTTTGTAAATAAAAAAAAGTTCAGCAATACACAATCAAGAAGTGTGTACCTGAAGAATCTTCTGCACGCCACGGGCAATGTCGTAGTGCTCTGCGCCGACAANTGCAAAAGAGAGAGATGGGTTTGTAAATAAAAAAGGTCAGCAAAAAAGCAACTCAAGTATGTACCTGAAGAATCTTCTGCACGCCACGGGCAATGTCGTAGTGCTCTGCGCCGACAATGTTGGGGTCCATGATACGGGAGGTGGAGTCGAGCGGATCGACGGCCGGGTAGATGCCCAGCTCGGCAATGCCTCGGGACAGCACCGTGGTGGCGTCCAAGTGGGCAAAAGTGGTGGCCGGGGCGGGATCGGTCAAATCGTCGGCCGGCACGTAGATGGCCTGCACCGAGGTGATGGAGCCCTTGCGCGTGGTAGTGATGCGCTCCTGCATGGAGCCCATGTCAGTGGCCAGCGTCGGCTGGTAGCCCACGGCCGAGGGAATACGACCCAGCAGGGCGGACACCTCAGAGCCGGCCTGGGTGAAGCGGAAGATGTTGTCGATGAAGAGCAGCACGTCCTGGCCCTCCGCGTCACGGAAGTACTCGGCGACGGTCAGACCGGTCAGAGCGACACGGGCACGGGCGCCCGGGGGCTCGTTCATCTGACCGTACACAAGGGCGACCTGAAGGGCAAGAGGAGAGAAAAGGGAAGATAGTTAGCTCAAGACTTGCTAAAACAAACTGCCAAGCACTTACCTTGGAGGACTTGTCCTTGAGGGAGATGACACCGCCCTCAATCATCTCGTGGTACAGATCGTTACCCTCACGAGTTCGCTCGCCGACGCCGGCAAAGACGGAGTAGCCACCGTGCGCCTTGGCGACGTTGTTGATCAGCTCCATGATGAGCACAGTCTTGCCGACACCGGCACCGCCGANGAGTTAGCTCAAGACTTGCTAAAACAAACTGCAAAGCACTTTACCTTGGAGGACTTGTCCTTGAGGGAGATGACACCGCCCTCAATCATTTCGTGGTACAGATCGTTACCCTCACGAGTTCGCTCGCCGACGCCGGCAAAGACGGAGTAGCCACCGTGCGCCTTGGCGACGTTGTTGATCAGCTCCATGATGAGCACAGTCTTGCCGACACCGGCACCGCCGAACAGGCCAATCTTACCGCCCTTCGAGTAGGGGGCCAGCAGATCGACGACCTTAATGCCGGTCACCAGGATCTCCGCCTCGACGCTCATCTCCACGAACTCGGGCGCCTCGGCGTGAATGGCAGCAAACTTGTCGGTGTTGACGGGGCCACTGAGGTGGTAAACAAGGTGAGATGAGTTAGAGTCAAGGATAAACAACAATAACATTCCCTCCCAAAACCTACCGCTCATCAATGGGCTCGCCAATGACGTTGATGATGCGACCCAGAGTCTCCGGGCCGACGGGAATCTTGATGGGCGAGTCGGTGTCGATCACCTCCTGACCACGGACCAGACCCTCGGTACCGTCCATGGCGATGGTGCGCACCACATTCTCGCCCAGGTGTTGAGCCACCTCGAGGACCAGACGAGGCTTGCGATCGCTGACCTCTAGCGCATTGAGAATGGAGGGCAGCTCACCGTCAAACTGAACGTCGACGACGGCGCCGATGACGGCGACCACCTTGCCCTTCGAGGCGGTGGCCTTCGAGGCGGCGGCCGCGGCGGCGTAACGCTTCTGGGCTGTAAAGAGAGAGAACACAAGAGGGGTCAGTTGTTGTCAGCAGGAGGATAGGAAGGTACAATGAAAATATGATCATCACAATCACCAGCACTTACTCTGATCACAAGCAGGCACGAGCTTCGCCGACTGCGCGGGCACCGTGGTGAGGGCGACGGCAGGCTTGCTGGCCCGCACCAGACTGGCACAGGTGTTTCGGTACAGATTAAGCATGGTGGTGGTGGTGGTGGTGATTGCTTTGTTGATGGACCGAAGTCGGGTAGGCAGGAGGACAAGGAATATCGCTGAAGAGAGAGAGAGAGTTGGAAGAAGTCACACCAGACTAAGGTGGCAAAGACGAGGCAGCAGACGAGGATGCACTCTGCAGAGGAGAGAGCGAGGAGAGAGCTGGCTGAAGTGTGCTGGCGGAGAGAGCAGAGCAAAGTCACAGCGGGCGCCCGATCTGCGCAGCCGTCGGCGGCGGCCGGCGCACGAGTGGGCCCATCGTAGAGGACGGAGCGGGTGGAAAGCACGCTG